ATATATATATACACTTAGTTTCACGTGCGTAAATTCACAGGTATCTTTATTTGTGTATGTATGTGTGTGTTTCTCTCACTCCTTGATAATTCCCCGCTGGCTTCAATCATTTTTTTCTATTTGTTGCAAAGTTGTGTGCGATAATCAGCAGTGTGCACTGTTTTTTTTTCACATCCATACCAAGACCAGTACCGTGAGCCGTTGGGTTGGGAGCCACTACCGTTAGTCAACATCTTGGGTGGGATATTCATGCGAGTGAATAAAAAAGGTAAATTTACAGCTCAAACAGAGACCGATCTTTGAACTATGAGATACTAACCGGAGCCACAGGGTGCTATGCTTCAGGGCTGGTGTTTGTCGAGTTGCTAGAATTTATCAGTAAAGCAACCTGTAGATCGTTGTGTCGAATTCAGCTATCACTGCCAATCTTCGATAATTCCGTGTGTTCCCTGGAGGCAACATCCTCTTTATGGCAAATTGACTGTTCAACTGTATGTTTATTGAGTGAAATAAGGTGTATAAATATTAGTTATTACTGCTACTATTGTTACTATACCACTCACTGTAAACAAATCTATGGCATGAAAAGAAAAATTGGAGCCAATCGATGAGCAAGCACCAAATGACTTAAGTCACTGTCACTAGAGTATTACGGTCCCTAAGAACCGCGATGGAAACATTACCACCACCACTCAATTTTGTTGGTAAACAGCTTCACCGTCGTCGGGCTAAACAGCAGTTGGATCTTGTTCGGTTCATCACTCTTGGTTCTCGGGTGTTCATGACTTGGGAGCTCATTGCGTTAATCACACCGGGGTGCCCAATAAAAAAACTTACAGATTCCCGTTTTCAGTTATTGGTTATGCCATTCACTTGTGAAATAAGGGAAAGATATTTGCGATGATGCGACCATGATAGGCATTTATTGTTGTTCAAATTGCCAAACTACAGTGCCTCCCCCCTACCTCCGAAAAGCTTCGAAATCAGTAACCTTCTAAGCCCATCTCATTACCAACCTAGCACTGGAAAGTGCCACCTTGGCTGTTATGGTAACGGTTCCTTTCCAGTTCAAGAAATCGGTGACAACTAAGTATATATCTCCTCCAGGCGTGTTGATCTTCATTTTTACCGAGGCAATAAGGACTGATCATTTTCAATTTTCCCTCTCTTGGCGGACGGATCGAATAACCAATTTCAATGTGGTACATGGTGAGGCCCCGCAGTGTCAGAATGTCGTTGGTTTTGCCTCATTTGAGTCTGTCATGTTTGACATAAAAGTGTCTCATCGAATGTTATCATTATAGAGAAAATAGCTAACTCGATGTGCAGAGTTCAGTTGCCGTTTGAAGTTCAACTTGAATGGGTGTTCCTCGTTCACCGGAGAGATAAAAGGTTCAGGCTGAACAGTTTAATTAACAATTATACACACTATTCACTTGAGGTTTTCCTTATGTGTTACCAACTCGTCAATCAGCACCGGATCAAAGGTATCACTTACTGATAGAGTTCGGTGGTTGTGGTTAAATTGAATCTCGTGGTGGTCTGTTTTTTTTTTCAATATACTACGTATCCGACTGTACACATAAACGGACGAAATTAGCGAAAACGACTGGTGTTCAGCACACACCAGAAAACACATCAAAAGCGACTGAAACAATTCAGGCGATAGAAAATTGTGTGGATAGACTAGCAAAATAAACAGGAACGAAGCCTAATTATACTTAAAATGATGGGTCGATGGGTCGGTTATTTGGATATTCGGGGAGAAAACAATGCCGGATGACCAATTCTCCCCCATTAATTTTTTTCCCTAACTGAAAAGATCGTACAGAATGTCAATGAAAAATGTCACGCCGGTAACTGAGAGTGTAACGTTGAGAGTGAAAGCTATTATATCTATTTTAGTGATCGATTACGGTTTATTCAACAGGAAAAATGTCCTTAGAATCTTTGGTTCTAACAGGTCACTGTGAGATGGATTCCATGGCAGACAGTGTGGTTAGGCCCACTCGGTATGGCAATAACTTGCTTAAAGTAAAGCTTAGTTGAGCTGTTCTGGTTTTACAACCCCTTGCATACAGTGATAATAAGATCATCACATTGTCCATAACATTCAGCAATAGCAATTAACACACCGGAAAATAAGCACTCACCCCAGCTCTCTGAGCACCGAGTAGCATTCAGTTTTCTAACAATGTTACACGTTATTTACGAGAATTTTTTAATGTTCGAATAGAATGATAAAAATTTTCAAATTAAAAGAGTTAATCAATCTATTTTCCAAGTATATATATATATACACAAACTTCGCACACATCTAAGTCCAATCAAATCACGGTACAAAAGTCTAAAAAAAGTTCCGTGATTTGCTAGTGGGTGCGATACAGCGGGGTATCCTAGAAAAAAAGCAGGTGATTTTTCTTGGGGAATTCACGACCGGATTCTTTACCTAATCAGAGCCTGACCCGCATGGCAGCAGAGCGGTGCATGAAATTAGCAATCGATTGGGGACCGCAGTCCAGTTCATTGGATCGCAGGCTCTTTGGACGGGATCGAACGTCTAAGGTACCCAATAAACATAGATGCCCAATCGAACTGGTGACCACTGCTACAACAAGGAAGGTATGCGTGTGGGTGATTTGTATGTCTCTTCTTGGTTGCCTTAGAATCAGGATATTTTTAGCCAACTCCCTCAGGTGAGCTGCCAGTGGATCATTGACCCCGATACAGCCCCGGATGTTGGCTTTTCGTCCTATCCCTTTGGTGGAGAAAAGCCTCCGCCACGGGAAGGCAGTGAGTAGGGCTCCCTTAGCAGAGGCTAGTTTAGATGCTTGACAATATAGCAACATTTCGTGAGATGCAAGGGACGGGTGATCAGCCACAAACCCAAGACATACCTCGTACCATGCTGAGGCTTTCACAGGGAATGATTCTTATTGCAATGATCACGTGCGAGGCGAATATGTGACGCAAAATGAGATTGACCGTGAACATGAATACGCATGCTTATCAAGCCCGTTGTTTCCAATACTTTTTTTCGAAACCAGCACGGTGTTGTCCACGTAGGACCCACTTTAATCATGATCGCTCGAAGGGTTGAACTCCATAGTTAAAATACCTTACCGTTCGGGTATGGGAATCGACAAAACTGAGTCCTAGGACTCGTAGAGGTGAAACACAGCAGAACCCCTAATAGAATAGGTGTTGCATTGATATTAAAGCTGC